TTTTTTTTTTATCCATTCATCTGTTGATGGACATTTAGGCTGTTTTCATCCTTGGTTTCGGTGAGCAGCACTGCAGTCAAAAGTAGTATACACGTGTCTGTCTGCATAGCTGCTTTCACATACCCTGCATATACCTCAGAGTGGAAATGCTGGGTCACACTGTATTTCTAGGTTTAACTCTTTGAGAAACTGCCCAACTGTTTTTGCCAGAGGCTGTACACCTTGCATTCCCCCTCCCTCCCCCCGCAATAGGGAAGCATTACAATTTCTCCACATCCTTGCCAACATCGTTGTTTTCCATTTTTGTTTTGGTTTGTGGTATGGATTGAATTGTGTTCCTCAGAGTTATGCAGTAATTCCTAGCCTGTGGAATTACTCTGGAAATGCATAGGAAAGCCTGTGGTCATAATTCCATTTGGAAAGGAGCTGTCTTCACTATGTCAATGAGGCAAGATTAGAGTTGAGTGTGTCTTGAGGCAATTTCTTTTAAGATATGTAAGAAACTGAACAAACAAGCAGCAGCTAAGATGGAGGAAGAGGGATGCCAAGCTACAGGAAGCCTGACCGGGAGCAGTCCTCTGGAGCAAGCAAGAGCGAGAGAGCGAGAGAGCGAGAGAGCACGAGCGCCTTCGCCTAGGCCATCACTCTAAGTTTGGACTTCTGGCCTCCCTACCTGTGAGAAAACAAACTTCCCTTTCTCAAACCACCCACCTGTGGCAGTTCTCTGACAGCAGCACTAGAGAACTCAGACTGTTCAGTGGTTGTCTTAGCGTCTTAGCGTCCCCCGAAGGGGTGAGATGGTGTTTGGTTACCTGGTACCACTCTAATAGAAACAAGAGTTTATTCTCTCACAGTTTTGGAGGATAAATGTCCCAGTTCAAAGTGCCAGGTTCTAGGGGCTGGGTGAAAGCCCCTCAGCCTTGGGCTTTAGCTCTGCTTCCTGCTCCTGACCCACTGAAGCTGAAGGTTTCTCTTCACTCAGCTGCTGGCTGGTGAAGATGACCAACCCAACATCAACAAGTAACAAGGCACAGTCCGACGTTACCAAACCACACGGCAGGCCGCTGATTCAAGTCCACTGACAGGCCTGAGATGAGCAGACATGGCAGGCTGCTGAATAACAAATGACTCGGCTACACGCGGGGTTCAAGCTTGCTAAAAGCTGCAGACCATTCCCAAAGCTTCTTTTTATATACTGGGAGAAGACCACATCCCTAAAGTGGCTACTCAGCTGCTCCAATAGATTCCACCATGGAGTTGATTGCCAGTCTCATCATGGAGAATAACAACCACCAGCTGCCCAGCAACCCAGCCAGGCCCAGCCAAGTTGACACACAACTTTACCACAATTCCACCCCCTGTCACCTTGGCACCTATACAGACTTCAGTGGGTGGTATCTGTACAGATCTCTTCACTGGGTGACTCCAGTCCCCTAGTTCCTGAGTGGTGACCTCACCCCCTTGGCCTGGCAGGTCCCATTCCCTCTTGGGCATGGCAGCCCCGCCCCCTCACTCTTGGGCAGCGGCTATGGCTCCATCCCACTGGCCCACATAAACGAGCAGCCCCACACTCCAGAACCAAGCTGGTGAAGGCCTGGCTCTTTGAAACCTAGGGGGCTGTGGTGGTTCAAGCCCCAGAGCCCATGGTCCTACCTTTGAGGCTGGAGGCAGCTCTGCTTCCAGTGTCCTTGGTCTCTCAGCTTCCGTCAGTTCATGCCGGAAGGCAACTCACTCCGCTGGAAATCCTCCTGCCCAAAAAGCACTCAGCTTTCTTGCTCCGTGGGCTGGCCAACCTGCTACTCCATTTCACGCTGGGCTCTTGGCCTCTGGGGTGGGACCACCACAGCCTCCTAGGTTTCAAAGAGCCAGACCTCCACCAACTTCGTTCTGGAGTGTGGGGCTGGCACTCACAAGGGCCAGCGGAATGGGGCCATAGCCGCTGCCCAAGAGGGAGGGGGCAGGGCTGCCACACCCAAGAGGCAGAAGAATGAGGCTCGTTGGGCTAAGGGGGTGAGCTCCACTCAGATGAACTAGGGCACTGGAGCTACCCAGGGCAGGACATGTGTATGGATGCCAAGATGACACCTAACTTAAGTACCACAGGTGGTATCTCACTGTGGTTTTGGTTTGTATCTCTCTAATGGCTAACACATAAGGAATAATGAATAAGGAAGATCGCAGAAGAATCAATGCGTTTTAACTGTGGTGTTGGCAAAGAATATTGCACATACCACAGGCTGCCATAAGAACGAACAAATCTGTCTTGGAAGAAATACAGTTGGAATGCTTCTAAGAAGTCAGAACAGCCAGACTTCATCTCTCGGACTTTGGGCAAATTACGAGGAGGGACTTATCCCTGGAGAAGGACATCACGCTTGGTAGAGGGTCAACAGAAAAGGGGCAGACCCGCAGGAAGATGGACTGACACTGTGGCTGCAACAATGGGCTCGCGCACAGCAGGGATTGGGAGGACGGCCCAGGACTGGGCAGGGGTGTGTTCTGTCCTACACAGGGTCACTATGAGTCAACGAACTGAACGGCCCCTGAAACGGCAAACAATGCTCATGACACTGAGCTTATTTTTCATGTGCTTATCAGCCATTTGTCCGTCTTCTTTAGAGAAAGTATCTATTCAAGCCCTTGGCCCATTTGTTGATTGGACGATTGTCTTTCTGTTATTAAGTTGGAGGAGTCCTTTGCATATTTGTGATATTAAACCCTTATCCAAAAATTTCCTCCCAGTCAGTAGGTTGTCTTTTCACTGTTTTTTTCCTTTTCATTCTCTTGATGAAGTCTTTTGATGAACACAAGTTTTTCACATGGATGAAGCCCCACTCATCTATTTCGTCTGTTACTGATTATGCTTCTGGTACCTATCTAAGAATCCATGGCTAAAAACTGAGGTCCGAAATGTCACCTCTGTTGGCTTCTGAGAATTTGTAGGTTCAGTCCCTACATTTAGGTCTTTCATCCATTTTTATTCATTTTTGTAGATGGTGTGAGGTATGGGTCCAGGTTCATTCTTTTTTTATGGAAATCCAGGTGTCCAAGGACCATTTATTCAAGACATTCTTCATTTCTCAGTGGATGGAATTAGCATCGTGTCAAAACTCAACTGAGTACAGATGGATGTATGGGTTTACTTCTGGACACTCAATTCTATTCCATTGGTTTGTTATCTCTTCTCATACTAGGACAAAACTGTTTTGCCTACTATAGCTTTATAGTATGTTTTGAGATTTTGAAGTAGGTGTCCTCCTACTTTGTTCTTCTGTTTGAAGGGTGATTTGGCTATCCAGGCTCCCTTGCAGTTATATATAACTTTAAAGATTGGATTTTCTGTTTCTGCAAAGAGGTCTTTTGGGATTTTGATAGTTATCATATTGAATCTATAGGTTTGCTATAGGCAGTATTTAACATCTGTACAATATTAAGTCCTTCAATCCAATCCACAGAATTTCCCTCCATTTCTTTAGTTTCTTTTTGTAATGTTTCATAATTTTCACTGTACAAGTCTTTCATTTCCTTGGTTAAATTCATTTCTCTCTATATATAGATAGATAGATAGACAAATACAGATAGATAAAGATATAGATATATGCAGTTGTAAGTGGAATTGTTTCCTTAATTTCCTTTCCAGATTACTCATTACTCACGCAGAGAGACACAGTGATATCTGCAGGTTGACCCTGTCTCCTGCCTCTGCTGGATCCGCCTAGTTGCCCTAGTAACCTCCTTGTGTATTCTTCAGGCTCTTCTACATAGGATGATGTCATTAGAAAAAAGGGATCCTTCTACTTTTTCCTTCCCAAACCTCCTTCTTCCCAATACTGATACCATTTATTTTTCTTGCCTAATTGCTATGGCTGGAATGTCTATCATTTCTTACTACAGATCCTGTTGTCATCCAAATTCAACTCACTCTCTAAAATCCTGCTAGAATGTTCACCCGAAGGTACAAATCTTCCCATACATCACCCTTTTGCTTAAAATCCCTTCATGGTCGCTTCATAGCTCAGGTGGACATGCAAATCCCTTGACATGATGCACCCTGGCCTTACCTGCTGCCCCTTGCACCTGTGCCCTGAGAGCCAACAATACTTCAATGAATTCCCTGTGCTCTTTGGTACTTGCAGCCTGGTGACCTGTTGTCTCCTCCATATGAAACACTCTTTGTATGATGTCTTCACCGAATTACTACCGACTTCTTGCTTCAAGTTCAGCTCAGCAGCACTTCTCCAGAAGGCTCCCTGCCCTTTGTCCTCAATAACTCTCCTGGTGGCTTACCTCACGCTCTCCTCTATCAGAAACATTCGTTGAAACATAACTGCCATCTGATGACCTCCTCAGAAGGTTGCTGAGGCCACCTTAAGGGTGGGCCAGTTTCCACTGCGTCCTCCGTATTCTGGCTCAGAAAGCTTCAAAAATGTTTACGAATCTCAGGGAACAAACAAGGGACTGGCACCCGCTGACCACAAGAACTTACATGTAGAATTTTAACAATACTACGAAAAAAATTATGGAATTCATGAAAGTAATTTATTCCTACAAAGGAATAATGCTAAAAAATAACTGTCAAAATTCACCTTGTTTCTTATTGGACTCCTTGGGCCTGGAGGACTCTATGACTATCATGCTGGGACATTCTTCAAACCTTGAACCAGACCAAACCCAAAGTCACCTTCATGCTAAATAACAACTGGCTCACAAAATAATGACTATCACCCATGAGTACCGTGCTCTTTCAAAAAATCAGCTACATGAGATCAAATGGTAAACAATGACTTTGAAACCAATAAGAATGTAATGGGGTGGGAAGGCAGGAAAACTAGACTAAGGGAAGTGGAACAACCAGAAGAGCAACAACAAGAGTGTTTCTGCATCATGGGGAAGGTGACCAATGTTCCTGAACAACTTGTGTCAGAATCGTGCTATGGGAATCCAAACTGCTGTACAAACCTGCACAAAAAAAACACAAGAATGCATTATGAAGAAATCACCTTCTCAGCTTTTCCTTGTTTGAATGAAGAGAACTCTTTTGGCATTTCTGGAGATCAGATAACGGACCCTTTAATTCAAGCTCAATGTCATCTAGAGATTTGGAGCTACAGAAAGAGAAAAAACAGGCCATAGGTTAATAAAGAAAACCATCAGTCAATTAAACAATAAGCACCCACACATGACCCAAACGACACTTCTGAAAATCTCTTGCTACATACCCAATGTGTAGTAAGTCACCTCACACATTTGGTTCAGAATGTTCCATTTCAGAATTTCAAAAGAACTTATTACCAATATCATCATAAACTGAATGACTGATCAAGACTCTAAAAGAATAACACACACTTCACCTGAGGATGTTGAGGTGATTCTGGTTCACAGCGCCCCTAGAGGACAGAGTGGAACTGCCCCACAGGGTCTCCAAGGCTGTCAATCTTCACAGAAGCAAAACCCAAACCACACCCACTGCCGTGGAGTCGATTCTGACCCACAGTGCCCCTAGAGGACAGAGTGGAACTGCCCACAGGGTCTCCAAGGCTGTCAATCTTCACAGAAGCAAAACCCAAACCACACCCACTGCCGTGGAGTCGATTCTGACCCACAGCGCCCCTAGAGGACAGAGTGGAACTGCACCACAGAGTCTCCAAGACTGTTTATGAAAACAGACTGCTTCATCTTTCTTCTGCAGAGCAGCTAGTGGCTTCAAACTTCTGACCTTTTAGTTAGCTCTACTCTGTCCTACAGGATCACTATGAGCACTTAACCACTGCACCATCAGGGCTCCCAACACACATTTACAGGATGGAAACATCCGAGCACATGAGTAGGACTATCCCAAGTGATGTGACAGTATTTGTCCTCCTGATGGAAATGCACATTCCAAGAGAAAAGGCACAACTGACACTCAGCCATGAGCTCTGGTGATGCAACCATTAAGTGCTCGGCTGCTAAATGAATGTTGGCTGCTCAAGCCCACCCAGCTCCACAGCAAAGACCTGGCGACCTGCTCCCCTAAGATTACAACTTAGTCAACCCTATGGGGCAGGGCTGGTCTGTCACATGGGGTGAGGAGGAGTTGACACTGCTCTGACAACACCTAATAACAGCACGTACATCCTTGTCCAACTCGATCAGCACAGGGCAGGGTGGGCTGATTTTAAAATGTGTCCGTTAATGTACATTTTCTGGTCCTGCTACTTTATAGCACTTTTCCAAGCACTTCAACATTTTGTTCTAAACAATTCTTTGCCAGAAACTTGCAAACTGACCTTAATTCTATTACTCCCAGAAACACGCTTTGGACGTGAATACTATGTTTATAGACAGTGGTAGGATTTTGAGGAAAGATAAAGATTTGAGATGACGAGTGATCACACAGCAGTTTAAGTAATAATACAAGAGAAACACGACACTGTCTAAAATCTCTCCAGCCTCGTCTTGTTCCAGGCTGAATACCTCAATCTCTTTGTGGTTAAAATGGTCAACAAGAATACCAACAAGAATACATGATTACATAACTGCCAGATTTCATCATTACATTAACTACCACACCACTGAGAACCACGGCCCCAGCAGGCAGACATATAACCTTAACTATCTCGGTCAGTATTACTCCCGCTGCACACTTCAGCATTTGTTACTGCCAGATACACGTCATTAATGTGGAAAATAGAGTAGATTTTTCACTCTGGTTATGGACATGAAATGTCAGATAACAGAACAGTAGGTAAGGAGAGGATGAACTTCGTCAATCAGTGCACAGCCCTGGGTCCCAGCTCAGATTCCAAACTCCAGAAAGGCCCTCCTGCCGCAGACTGACTCTTTCTTTGGCATCACCCCCAGCTCTTAATTTGGTATTCCACATTGAATGGGTTCTGCACAATTAGGATTATTATTATTATTTTTTAAAGAAATGTCCACAGTGAAAAATGACATTGTAAAAAAGTACAAAAAACTAACCTAGTGCTAAGACTGGCAGACAAATGTCCAGGCTGTTCGCTGCACGACGTCTGCAATCCAGGATCTTCCAGCCCCGCTGCACTCTCATTCGTAACTGAAAGTTTCAAAGAGGGTTTCAAAGAGGGTGACCACTTTCATTCCAGAATGGCTGATAAGGATGACATCACTTACATACACAGGCCCCAATCATACCAGCTGCCCCCTTCTCTCAGGGGGTCTTAGAAGCGGGAATTTTAAGAGAGTTTATATTTAAGTTCATGAAGCATGAAACCACCCAGGTTAGAAAGAAAAAATAAAATGTATAATATATAATAATAACATGAAAACCATTTACCCCAAGGATACTCTTTTTAACCAGAATCTAGTAACTTACAGGCAGGTGTGCTTAAAAAATACTCAACAAGTTTCACCAAACCCTTATTTATAGGCAGAAGCTCAGTTGCAGGAGTTAACCACTCAGCTGCTAAGTGAGAGGCAGGCAGTTCCAACGCACAAGGTAGTCCGCAGAAGGAGAGGCAGCCCGCTTCTGTGAAGACTGACAGCCTGGGAAACCCTGTGGGGCAGTTCCACTCTGTCCTCTAGGGGCGCTGTGGGTCAGAATGGACTCCACGGCAGTGGGTGTGGTTTGGGCTTTGC